CTTCCCCAGGTGCAGGGATGGTATTTGCCCCTGTGTAACTTTGCTGCATTCCTCTGTGCCCACTTGTCCAGGTTTTTCTGAAAGACAGCTCAGCTGTCACATGGATCAGCCACTCCTCCCAGCTTTATATCATTGACAAATGTGCTGATGGTCACCCAGGTCACTGATGAACAAGACTGACCCTTGGGGACACCACAGCTACAGGCTTCCAACTAGACTCTAACCACAGTCCTCTGAGACCTGCCATTCAGCCAGCTCTCCATCCACCTCTCTTCTCTCTCATTGATTCAGGTTGAATGTAAAGTGGCACTCGTTTATATGTGATAACCATGATCTCAATCCCTCAAGAAAATTCCCTACACAATTTTTAATTGTTTTAATTTAGTTCAGCCATCTCCTCTCTGCCCCCCTTTATATTGTAAAATTGATTAGAGATTTCACTAGAGAATACGTAATGACATTCTGATAGTACCTTAGAAAGAGAGAAAAGTATTCTAGGCTTCTTTTACAGCTTGCATGACATTTAAATGCATATTTGATATTGTCCTTTTCACAAACTGTGTTTTAAATTGCTGTTTATAGCTTTCCCTTGTAGGAGGATATTCGATTAGTCAATAAAATATTAGAAAAGCATAATTTGCTAGAAATTTCTAGAAAGTACAAGTGCCATTCAACTCCTCCTCCCATATTATTGCAGGTTAATTTATTCTTCCATGCAAGAGATTTTAAATCTGCTGAAGTAGACTCTTTTTGGGTACTTATGCAATATGTCTACTTGTTGCCCTTGAGAAAAACACCATGATATGGTAAATCATTGGACATATGTAGAGTTCAAGTTCAGTCAAGGATCAGTCATCTTGTAACTACTCTTTAAATACAGCTTTGTCTATTAAAAGGACAGGTATTTGCCTTAATTATGATTTTGTATTGCTTTGTTTAATCTCTATTTTTGTACAGGTATTTTTTGAATAGTGTAACTAATATGAAGATTTTTTTTCTTCTTTCTTTTAACTCAATGGCAATATTGTTTTATAAATAGTCCTAAACAAACCTACAGCATGAAGAAAATGGAGAAACTGCAGAATTCCTTTCTAAGCTGCTCGTTTTGATTTAGCACCTGTTTAAGTGTAGGCATGACTTAGGTCCTACTGACTGAGGCAAGTTTGATCAGGTCTCTTCCTGGTGCTGAGTTTAACTAACAGGCCTTGTTCAGAGGTTTATTTAGTTTGCTGAGGTTTCCAGCAGGAAGCATAACTGGGTAACTGTTCACTTATAGTTCATGGACTCAGAGCCAGGGACAGCACAGAGGAAAGGCTCCTTCCTGGGCCTTCATCTGGAGAGGCCTGGGAGGTAACCAAGCCCATTTGCACAGATGTTTAGACTTCCTCCAGAAACTTCTGAGATTGCCATGTGAAACCCTGAACAGCTGAAGGAGCTGGAAGCCTCATCTGTAATCACATCTGCTGCCAAGTTACATTATGCACCACACCACCCCCATGTTGGAAAAAGGACTTAGAGAGTCAGGAACCAGGTTATCATGTGGAATGTGTTAAATGAGTGTCAGTAATTGAGAGCCTATTAGAAAATCAAGCTGTAAAACCAAAGTGAGCCTGGAGGCTTTTTACTCTGTCTCATATAGCTTTCAAAATATACTTGAGAAAGCTATAACCTATTATTGTGTCAAGCAACTTGCACAAGAGAGGACTTTTTACCATTTCAACAACATACCAGGTAGTATCCATCTTCAAGAAATTTCTAAACTGTCAAGATTTTTATAAAATAAACTATTTCAAGCTCATCTTCCCTGATATTAAAACAAAATCTGTTTACAGAATACCATAAACATGACATAATGATCAACTTTGTGTGTTAAGAGTTGTTGCTAAGGTGTTGTTGGATGCTGCTGGATGGATGGATGCTAGGCCACCAGGCACTTAAAAAATTAATATAATAAATAAATATATATAAGAGCTGACTTACAGTTTTATACCATGTGTACAGAGATGTGATTCATCTTGACACAAATAACACATGTGGGACAACAAACAGAAATGATATGCTTGAATACACTGAAGAAATCCTTTGATCAAAAGATAAAACTGGAAGTCAGAAAATTATGTCCAAGCCCACTGTCTGGTCTAATGATGATTTAAAACTTCTGATGACTCAGTTTTTTTATTTGTGAGATTAGGACAATATAGAGCATTTTGAAACAATTATTAAAATTAATTACAGCTAGAAGGGATCCTATTTCTAGTCACATTTATGCAAGGAGTCCTTCTGAAGCAATTACTGAATTACTGGCTTTGGAAAGCAGCCAGGTGAACTGCACCTGGGAAGTTAAAACTGATTCTGATCCTGATGTTGCTCTTTATGCCTTTTTTTTTTTTTTTTTAAAGCATTTATAAAGCATCCAACACTGACATAAAGGCAAGGTGAAAAGTGTAGGAATAAATTAAATGGCACAGCCTGGTTTCTGATTAGCACAAAAGGAAAAGAGAATGGCAGAACAAGGAGGGTAAGCAGATCAGACAGGCTGCCTGGTAGAGCACAGGCCTGGGAGAGAAGCAAAACATCCTGTTTTCTTCAGTTCCTTGTTGTGAACATCTGTCATTCCAGCCTTGGAATGAGTTTAGTTTGGTGTGGTGTACCTGCAAATGTATCAAGCATTAAGAGAAAACACATTTTTTGGGGTTTGATTTGGACACAGCAAATATTTGTGAGAAACAAAAGGTAAAAAGGGAAGGAAACCAGGTGAGTAGCTAGCTGTAACTTTTATTGATTAAAATAACAGGAATTAAGAAAAATGTCATATATGGGTAAAACCTTACGAAAAAACCTTGTAAAATCATGGTTCAGGCCTTGTTACTTTGGCTAAGTATAACTAGCAGCTAGCCTGACAAGTTCCCATGCAAAAACATCTTGAGAATGAAAAGTTTGTTAACATAACAAACTATTCTTGGGGAGAAAAACAAGTGCATCTGTAGTAACGAGGGATATGTTCCATGAGAATCAGTGGGAAAAGTATGTAAACATTGTTGGATAGAAAAGTTTTGATTGACATGTACACTCACCATTACCACCCAGTGAACTGAGTTCCTAACCAACTGGGATTAAACACGGTGCCTTCTGATAACCATATAAATATAAGCTGTGTGCAATAAAGATGGGGCTATGATGGAAGAAGAAACAGGTGTCATTGTCCATCTCTACTACAACATCTGGCTTTTGTCAGGTTTTATCTATATGTGACAGAAAAATAGTAATTTTTTTAAAAAATAAAACCCCAGGAATTAAGAATTCTCAATGCACCATGAGGACAAGGCAGAAGGATGTGTCTTTATACCATGATCAGAAAGATGAGAGTGCTACTGCCTAAGTGTTCAAGGTTCTTTCACACACTTTGTAAATATTTAGTATATAAAAGTTCAGATCTCATAATTCCCAAACAATCTAAGCACCATAATTGCTCCAACTTTCCCCTTCTATATTAAAAATACACTCACAAACAACTTATGGAAATCTAATCAGACTTGGGCAAATTCACAAGGCTTCTCAGAGTTAATAACTGAAACCTTCTGGTAGATGTCTTTATTACTCTCAGCATTAGCAAGATTGAATCTCTGTTTAGACTAGTTCTTGTTAAAATTAACAGTTGGAAGCTAGAACCTTCAACCTTTGGTATTTTATTTCAACAATATATCACTTTGGCCTTAATCTATAAATAAATCTTAGTTTATCATCTACCAAACTGCCTTAGCAGAAGCAGAGGCCACTATGAGTCACATGCTTGATCTGGTAGAGTGGTATCATGCCTCTATGGTAATATTGACTTATAGGGCTAAACAGTGTATAAGGTAAATATGTTAAAAGAAATCTATTTTTCAAAGCATTTAAATTTCAAAATATCTGTACTTTCAAGGAAGAAAAATTGAAGTGGGCTAATGGAAAAAATGAGTGAAATTTTATGGCATTTGAAATTTGATTCATACACTCCCTTTAATGCTTGATAGAAAAATCCTGTTAATATAGAATAACATAGCTACACTAGTAACATTAACCCTTGGTCATTAAATTTTAATTTAAAGTGCAGCTGAAGGAAAACTTATTTATTGAGTTCTCATGGACAAATTTCTGGCTCTGAAGATTTTAAATACCTCACCTGAATGTAAGTTTAGATGGAAAAGAATGCTAAGATTCAAGATCCCCTGACCTGGGGATGTTTTAGAGTAACAGCTCTTCAGGGGAGAGCCCGACATTTACTCTGTTTACATAGTTCTTGTCTTCGTCTAACTCAATTCAGTTGTTTTTAAAGAACTTCCTGTTCAGTGTTTCCTATGTGGGAAGATCAGAGAATGTGAAAGGCATTTGTAAAAAAAATGGTATTATTTTCTCCTGGTTGGTATGAACTGTGGTGTAATCTGAGCTCTTTTTTTTTTTTTTTTTTTTTCCCCACGGAAAATAACTTCAAGGCAACAAGATTTCCATCACAAAATAAGTGAGGGGGAAAAAATGAAAGAATGTCACTGCTCTGTAGAAGGAGCGGGTCAAGGGGCTGAGCAGGTGCGCGCCCTGCAGAGACACGGAAAACAAAAGGGCAACGCGGTGAGGGGTTCCGAAAGCCGGGACTCAAATTAAAGATAAAAAAATCAGCCGCAGCAGATAACTCCAAGCGCGATGAGGATCGCCCGGCAGAGAGTGGCAGCTGCCAGGCCCGCACTCCTTTACGGCCGCTCTCCCGCACCTTCCCCTTTTTACACATTTGGTAAATCCCCTCCCTGGCCACGGCCGAGGGGAGCAGGAGGATGCCGAGGGGGACAGCGGGGCACCGAACGGGGAAAGGCGGATGCTGGAGGGGACGGGCAGGTGAGGAGAGCGGGCGGGGAGCCGGGGGACAGGGCCGGGCTGGGCTGGGCAGGGCAGGGCAGGGCCGGGCTGGGCCGGGCCCGGCTCCGCCCGCTCTCCCAGGCTGCTCCGCGTTGCAGCCGGGGGAGGTGGAGCCGCTTTATCGGCAGCCGAAGTGGAAATTTCCCCGTCAGTTCCCGGCTCCGCCGCGAAGGAAGCACTGGTGGGAGCCGCCTGCTCTCGTCTCCCCGTGCCGCGCCGCGTCCTGCCTGCTGTCATGTCCAACTACATCCACGTCCCGCCTGGCTCGCCGGAGGTGCCCAAATTGGACATCACCGTCAGCGAGCGGGAGGGGCTCGGGTATCGCCAGGGCGCCCTGCAGCTCCTGCGCCGGCTGCGCCCGCACTGGAGACCCGAGGAGGTGACGCTGCAGGTACGGCGGGGTCCGCGCCCCGCTTGGCGCGGGGGATGCGGCAGCCGGGGCGCGGGGAGCGAGGGGAAAAGCAAGGCAAGGAAGGGGGGAGGGCGGGCGGCCATTGTGCGGGGGAGCTGCCGCCTTGTTTCCTCCCCCTCCCTCCCTCCTTCCATCCCCCGCTCCCTCCATCCCCCGCTCTCCGCCGCAGCCCCCTGCGCGGAGCCCCATTTGCCAGGCGGCCCGGCGGCGGGGCGGGGCGGCGTGGCAGCATCCCCGGCTCCCGCCTTCCCTCCTTCCTTCCCGGCGCTCCTCCTCCTCCCCACCGCCTGCTTTCGGCCTCCTCCTCCCGTACCCTCCCCGCTGGAGCTCGGCTGCTCGCTATAGCGGCAGGGAGAGCTCTGAAGCCGGGGGCGAGGGGAGGAAGGCGAGGGTCCCCTCTGTCTCTGCTGGGTGGGGAGTGTTGGTGAAGCGGGGGACAGGCCACCGGAGGAGGACACACCGCCGCCGCGGGACTGGAGCGCTCCCACGGGCGGCGGAGCCCTTGTCGGGTGCTTCCCGTAATAAAAAGATATAATAAATACGTGTCTGGTATTCGCAGGCGGGCTGGGGTTTAGGCTGGCGGTGTCGGAGCGCCCCTTGCTCGCCGCTCCTGGCAGAAGTACCGCTGCTCTCCGGTGTTCTCTAGGTGAGCAGTCATTCGTACTCATGACGAGTCATCTGCCGGAGGATTGGCTGCTTTCGTGCTTCTAGAATATACTTAACATGGCCCCCTGCACTTAAAAACTCTTCAGCCAACTTGCGTGGCTAAAATAGCGCTTCAGCCTGTGGTTAGTTGAGGATTTTATTAGACGCTCAGCTGCGTTATTCAGCAGTTGTTATTACATGGCGGTGTCTTATTTCAATTAAGTTCCTCTTCAGAGGGCTGCTGAACTAATTCGTGTAGGAAAGCTGAGCACATTGAGGTAATGGCTCATAATTTGACCGAAATTTTCTGATGTCTTGAAAGAAAAATGAAACTTGACACGTGCCAGTCCAGTTAGCATGCAAATAAAGCTAATGAGCTTTTTCTAAATAACCTGTTTGAGGCAGCGGCCATAATTTATGCACAATCCCAACATCTTGAGGTGCAATGAAAACAGCTTTACAAAATGTAATGCTAAATGAGGCTATTAAAGTTCATAGAATATCTTGAGTTGGAAGGGATCCATAGGCATAATCCAACTGCCTGCTCCTTGCAGAGTTACATTAAAGTTATACATGGTTTTAATTTTTTGGTTCTTTGATCAATGCAGTTCTCAGCAGAATATTTTTCTTTCTTTCATTCAGGATTGTTGAAAAGTGAAACCAAAACATTATCCTGTTAAGGAAGGAAGACTTTATCCTTTGGGTAAAGTTGTAGTAGGTTCAAGAAAAAAAAAATTGCTTCCTTCTGCCACTCACTTCACAAGAAACAATTAACAGAATAAAAAACACCAGTACCATTGGTGTGGAACAGGGACTCTTGACTGGTCACACAGAAGTGGAGATTACTGTCTGTGGTTAGAGGTTTCTGTCTAAAAATGTCTTGAGTTTAGTTTTAACCTATTTATTTTAAGAACACAACTTTTCAGCTTGGTATTCTCCTTTTGAAAAGTGGAAGAACATTCTATTCAAAAGGCCCCTAATGGCCTTTTATTTTTAACTCTTTAGCTCGTGTTTAAGCTGCTGTGAGTGTGTAACAAGCAGGAATGCCTGTGGTTTGAAACAGATTCCAGCAGCAGTGATGGCAGTACAACCAATTACAGATTGATGTTGTACATGCATCAGATAGAGAAAGGTGCTGAAATGAAAGGTAGCTCTTTTTGTGAGGATGAAGGAGTGAACAGGAGGATGCCTTGGAGTCCTCCTTTAGACCTTCTGTTTAGGAGGGAGATGAGGATGGGACTCCTCTTGTATTGTGTGGAAAATATTACTGACTAATATGAAACAGCAAAGCAGACAAAGAACAGTGATAGGTTTGATGAACTACTGCTTCCTCTGGTGAACTCTTCCATTTGCTACCTTTGCTCTTAGTAATTCTTGGGTCAGAACAATTAGTAAGAAGCTGAAGAGTCCAGAGTTTGATTTGAAAGTTAATTAACTTCTCTTGTAAAAATTCACTGTTGTGTGTTAATTTGTTTAGTCAGCTGAACAATTTTGAAACTGTAGTTAGTTAGTATATGTTAATGCTTAATCCTCACTTTTCCTAAGATTTATAAGTACCTAAAATCAGGAATATATTTTAACATTTAATTTTTTTTACACCATAGCATAAAACACAAATGTAGGACGGAAGATGAAAATTATTAAAATCTTCAGTGCTTAAGTTATTCTTTTATTATGTTATTTATCAGAAGGGCTATAACATCAGAAGCATTGCCCATGACTTTCTGAAATGGAAGCAGCTATACTGTAATACATCTCCTTTATATCAAGTTGTATGTAAATTTTGTCCCTACAGGGCAGTACAAATGTTGAAGTTATTCTACATTGCTAGGGAGAAACAGAATTTTTCTGTCTAAATGCTCATCTTCATGTACATTGTGCAGTTGTCAACTGAAAATGTCCTAGGAACTGTATAGAATTGGGAGCTTGATTTTCTGACTTCTAAACTTTTGATGTTTGCTTTCTCTGCTTTTTGCAGTAGTCACTTAACAGCAATGTTGGGTAGTTCTGGTTGGAAGGAGTCTCTAGAGGTCTTCCAAACTTCTGCTGAAAAACTCACCGCTTGCTAAATTGAGAAAATGGCTGTTGTGAACAGGAGAAACAGGTTTTTAAAATTTCATTTAAAAAGTGCTCTCCTAACTCAAAACAGGGCTTCTGAGTTTTGTAAGCAGCCTGAATTTTGATGGTGGGCATTCCAGTTCTTATATTCTGCACAATTATTAATTAAATATAAATATTTAATAGTTTTAACTCTTTACTCTTTTAAGGAGGTTGTATTACCTTTCCTAATGTAAAAATACACTCACAGATTGGATTTTGTTGCCCATCTTATTTTTTCTCTTTTTGTGGATATTCAAGGAAGATCAATGTTTGCTTACAGTATGGGAAAATTAGTTCAGCACTTGAGTAGTGCTGATTCAGGATTCTTTTATCCTGTGACTGTCTAGCTCTTGTAAGTCTGGTGGCAAAGAAGGATTCAGTAGGATAATACACAATTTCTTCTCTGCAGTGTGATATAGTGCAGGAAAAGCCATTAGTACTTCTTGCCATTCAGAAGTAATATTTAATGTTGAGAATAAAGACTGCCTGTTTTTATTGGTGAAAAGGCTTAATACTAATAGTGTTAATTTATACCATTATTTGGGTAGACCAGAATGATATATATGGGAAAAAATTGGCTGAAGAATCACTCAAAGATCTAAAATAATGAAAATGTTAGGCTGGCTAAGAGTGCTCCTGTCCCAAATGAAACCTGGAGAGGTGGAAAGAATGGGTTTTACAAAGGGGATTAAATTTTTTGTAAAGACACCCCATAACCCCCCCTGTAAATATTGCAAGCAACTATCATCTCCAGATAAGTTGGATTAATAGGCTTTTTTAATTCTCTGAAATAATTTGGCCTTGCTTGTTTTCTGGTACTGTGGTGGTTTTCTGGGATTTTTCCCTGAGATTTACATATCTTCACACTTATCAACACTTTGCAGGATTTTACTACTGCAACACTTCATAATTTGCAAAGATTTGTTCCTGCAGCTATGGAATGTGAACAGGATGGACTCAGGCTTATAAAAAATTGTACTTTCACCAGTGAAATGACCACCTATTTAATTTTATGTTTACCAGATTAGCTTTTGTCCTTTCATTTTTCATCCCGATTTGCACTCAGTAGCTTTTCTTCAGGCAGTATTTTCTGGCTGCTGCTCTAATTTATTTGCTTGTGTTGATATTGTTATTCTTTTTATAACAAACTTTAATTTGGTTCAGAGTTCTGAACTTGTTGGAATATTTTTTAGTTTATTTAAACAGACTGAGTGTGGGTTTAAAAGCATTGAAATAATTGAAAATGTTAGTTTCTGGGAAACAAAGCAAACTAACTTTTTGTATCTCAGTGCTGTTACATTTTTCAAGTGAGATGTTTATTGCTCTGCTGGTTTTGGCACATCACCCACTTCAGCAGTTGAGAAAGCAGTTGCCACATAAAGAGGAAGGACTGAATCCACAGAGAAGTGCTCCAAATGAAGAAGTGATGAGTGAGGAAAAGAATAAGAAAAGTTAGAATTGCAGCATGGGCTGAATTACTGATGTTCTGTGGAAACACTGTAATTTGAGGTGTGCCTTGGATGCAATGTCACAGTAAGTGGGAAATGCCAGCAGTATTGGATGTCCTTGGAGGCTGGGTTGGTTTCTCCAGTCTCTTTAAGCTTCTGATGAAGTTTGAAGAACTCAGTCTGCTGTTTCTAGAGGGTTTTGTGGTGTCTGTGTGGGGCAGAAACTGTAGTGGCATTTTATATGACTGATATGCCATATGTGCCTGATGTAATTCAGCTGTGCATGGTAGAGGTGTGTTTTTTCATGACTGGGGTTCGAATTTACAGAGAATCAGTATTTGTTTAGGTACACCTTGAATGAATTCATGTAAAGGCATATAACTTATGCTATAGGCTTGTAACATTGGAAAGGAATAATCCAAGACAGTTTAGTTCCTGTCCCTCTGCCCCTCCCTCCCCAGCCCGCAGGCATTTCCTGTCAAAATCTTCCAGGGGGAGGAACAGCAAATTAATTATTTGATTCAGAATGAAGTTTTATGCTCCTTTCCTATTATTACTATGTCTGTAGCTGTTTTAATCAGTATCACAAAATTTGTAAAGCCAATTAATCACTTTCAAAGTGTTAACTAGCTACCTGATGTTAACTCTTTTCAGGTAGAAGACTGTTCTTCAGAAACAAGGTGAAAAATAAGTAACTTTTTTTTTTCCCCCTTGGCATTAAAAAAAACCCCAAACAAACAAAAAATCACTAAAGACCAAACAAAAACCCAACAAAACAAAAACACCAAAAAATTTCACATATTGTCACATTTCAATCAAAACCAGCCCTCAACCCAAAAATGTTCAAAACAAAACCCACACACACCATGAAGCTGAAGTGTTTATGGTTTGGGAGCCCAAAAAAAAAATCCATGTGAAAGTTATACTAGCTCAATCTATGTTGGAGAAAACATTGCTTTCTCCATGCTGCTGTCATGCAGAGCCCCCCAAGAGCTCAGCAGAAACTGCTAGCTCAGCCTGTGGCCAAACTTAGCAGAGAATAGTGCTGCAAACTTGCTTCCTGCTTGTCTTGGTGTTTTTAATATCAAATGATCCTGCTCCTGGTCATCTGAGTACCTGAATCATGCAGACAGTGACTTTCACCTGCTGAGTGTAAAGAACTAGAGGATATGGCTCCAGAGCCTGGAGACCTTTGAATGAGGTTTCTTGTGAGCCCTGCTGATCATGTGAGAATTTACCCAAGGCATTTTCCAGTAGTTGTACTTCGTCCTTCTTTTATGAATAGCTACAGAAAGAGAGCTGCAATAGCTACAGAGAGAGAAACAACTAACCTTGTTTCAAGAAATTAAGTTCTTGATCTGTGCACCTGTGGATATGTCTATGTAGGCTAGACTTCCAGAAGAGAAGATCAACTTAGATTTACAATATAAAGTTGAAGTTTTGTGCACTAAAGAAGCATGTTATTGACGTCTGTTCCATTCTGGAGATCTTAAAGTCAGTCTGGGTTTAGCAGCAGAATCCAGGGAATTCCTGCTTGTTTATGCTGCAACATCACATCACTGTTCTGTTTTTATGGCACTATTGTTTCCTGCATTCTCTGCCTATGGATGTAATAACTCAGTCTAGAAGGGAAAAATCAGCCCTTCTGAGTCATAAGTACTTTCTACTTTGCCCCATGACGTTTTTATTTATGTCTGTTCGTTCTTGTTACGTGTGATTGCAATTTTGTTCTCATTCTTCTCATTCTTTTGAACTCTTGGAACACTGGGATGTTTTGCTCTGCTTCATTTCAGGTTATGTTTTGTGCAAGGCCTTCTAAGCTGATTCTTTAAATGCTAGAATAAAGGCATTCTGAATAAAAGAATGAAGTGACTATTATGTTGTTTTACTGTTGGCAGTAAACACTAAATGTTTTCTTTTGATGGAATATGGAAATTGTCTACTTTGAATAATGTTATTAGAAAAGTAAGTGAACCCTTCTGCCTTTTTAAGAAGCAGGAGCTAAAATGCTCCCGTGTGTAAATAATTATTTGTAGCAGCATGCTACAAATAGATACTAATAAGTAGAGTTCCTAAATTAACAGTTGAGGGAGTCCAATTTCCTTGTTCCAGATTTCTTTTTATTAGTGCTAATGAAACTGGTTTTAAGGGGATATTAGACCTATGACAGAAGGTGTAATGTGCCCAGCAGTTTCTCTTCAACAGCATAACAACTCAATTTCTTACTGTTTCTTTGCATCAGCATTATTAACTGTTATTTTTTTTTTAGCATCACTATTTCTGATGACCTCAGAGCTGTGTCTTTTTCATAGTACATATTTTTTTCCTTTAAACTACATTTTTGAAGTTTTTATCTAAGTATAGTAGACAAGATGCTTTTTAATTTGAACAGCTCAACATGAATCACTTCTGCAAAATGCTCTTCATGCATTTTAACAAATTATTTCTGGGATTATGTTAAAAGGTATAAGAATCAGTACTTGTATGTTGATTTTCTATCTTTAAGTGTTTGTGACTTATGACTTACACTTATGACTGGGAAGGCTATGAATGGATACATTTATAGTATCAGGGTGTAATTTGTGATTTATAAGCATTTTGAAATGCATTTAAGTACTGCCTGTTCAAATACATGAAACACTGCTCAAGCCCAGTATCTATGGAGCTGTTTTCTTAGTTGCAGTGCTTAACATTGTTATAGTTACTATGAAGACTGTTCAAGATTCTTCATTATTCGTCTTGAGTTATTCAAGTAATAGCTAATAATATGTGCCCATAAATGGTAAAGTCTTAATTTTGAGTCAGTCAAAGAGGCCTTATAAGCAGCTTTGTTTGAATTTATGGTTACCCTGTTTAGATGAAAGTGATATAATTTGCTATACCTGCTTCAAGACTGAGTGTTTGTAACTGTTCAAGAAAATAGAATACCTTTGTATCTTCTGCACCTTTCCTCAGGAGCTTGAGCTATTTCTTCTAATTTGTGATGACAACTGGAACTTTCCCACTTCTTTTCTGCATTTGTTGATGAAACTGTTGGCCACATCAAATTAGGTGGAGAAAGCAAGGCATATGAGCTAAAACACATCTACTGTAAAAGTCTCATCTTTTCCTAAACAGGGAGACTTGACCCGACTTAAGAATTATTTTTTCTTTAGTAATTAAAAAAAATTGCTCCTAATACTCAATTTTTCTAAACCCCTGAGGTTTGGAAATAATCTGTCACTTGTGTTTGAGTGATATTACTTTTCAAAATGAAGGCTTTATCTTGAAGGGGAAGGGGGAGTAATAGTCAAACTTTCTGAATTGTGTTTTACTGGTCTATAAAACAAAAAAACAAAACTAAAAAAAACCCTCCCACCCCAAAACCCATAAAACTCCACCCAAACTGTCCAAGGTTCTAAAGAATTATGATTCCTGTAGATATGTTTCCTGTTGTTGGTGTGTGTTTTTAGCAAAAACACTTTTTAAAATTATTATTTAAATTAAATATTTTAAATTATTATTTAAATTAAATATTATGGCTCAGAATAATGTCTGACACAGAACAGATCACTGTATTTGTCAGTACTTTTGTTCTAGGCTTGACTTAGGGGTTCAGGCAGAAGTCATACCTCAGAGGGTGCATGACTGGACATGAGTAAATAAGGAAATCACACTGTTGCCATTGAACACTTAGTATTCTGATCCTGATAAATAGGTTTCTTTTCTTTTTCAGCTGGTTTTCTGACCTCATTGCTGTTAAGAATTAAAAAATGTTTATGGTATCCTACTTAAGGCTACTTTTGTCTGCTTGCTAGTTTTACTGTGAGGATGTTTTGTGGGAGGGTTTATTATTTTTGAATTAAGAATTAGGGTTTTGAGGGCAAAGAGCGGAAGAAGAGATGTGAATGTAAATATGAAAAATACCTCACATTCATATTCAAGTATTTTCTCTGTGATATTCCTCTGTCTTAAAGGTTTCTTCATGCTCAATCTAGTAAACATTTATGTTTTGGGAACTAAAGGATAACTTGGCATTCTCTTCCTACTTTTGGAAGATGTAGAGTTGAGTTGCTTATTGCCTTATTTTTGCTTTTCAGCTGTTCACTGATGGTATCACCAATAAATTAATTGGCTGCTACGTAGGTGACATAACAGATGATGTTGTTCTAGTTCGGATCTATGGGAACAAGACCGAGCTCCTGGTGGATCGGGATGAGGAGGTGAAGAGTTTCCGCGTGTTGCAGGCCCATGGCTGTGCACCTCAGCTCTACTGTACCTTTAACAATGGCCTGTGCTATGAGTTCATGCAGGGAGAAGCCCTGGATCCAGAGCATGTGTGCAATCCAGATATTTTCAGGTAAGCTTTTAAAAATTTCCTTTTAAATCTCATCATTTCATTGTGTGTTTATCAAGCTCTGCCTGGCCTGAAGGGCTTTGAATTGAAGTTGAGCAGAAAATATCTATTTCTATAAGCCTGCACTTAGCTGATGTTCACACTTAGTTACAGTATTTCAGTGCTGCACAAATGATCCTTGGTGCTTCCACAGAAGACTGTGCTCATTAAAAGTGTGTTCATTTCTATTTATTGTATTTAGCACTTGCACATCACAATACAGAGGTCATCAAATATGGTGGAGTTGTAGGGGGCTGGACTTGGTTAAAGTACTTCCAGCTGTTTCCAAGATACTCCTTTTGTGAATAGATACCATTTCTCCATTGAGAAATGATTTTTTAAACTGTTATCAGCACTTTCTGTTCTCTGCTGTCTTAAGATTTTAGTTTTTCATGTGTGTGCTGAAATGTATTTGCCTAAAAATAGCAGTTAATTTAAATCAGTACTTCAAAAAACAAGCAAGAGTAGACTGTGAATGCAGGTGAAGTTTGTGTGCTGTAACTGAGCTTCAATCCTTCCCCCTTCCCTTCCCACAGGTAATGATCCTATTGAACTTTTGAGTCTTGAAATGTGCTACCCTGTGGCTGTGCTTCTCTTGTTTAAACCCTTTTTGAATTTCTGAACTGTGTTTTTTAGAATTTTTCAGTTAAATATAACATGAATTTAATTTTATTTTTTTAGGCTCATTGCTAGACAGCTTGCTAAAATCCATACTATTCATGCACACAATGGATGGATCCCTAAATCTAATTTGTGGCTGAAAATGGGGAAATATTTCTCTCTCATACCCACAGAATTTGCAGATGAGGAAGTAAATAAAAGGTGGGTATTTCATCATGTTCTTTTCCAGACTTCACATTCCTTCTGCTGGAGTTGGTGTTTGTACAATATCATCAGACTTTGTATGGCTCAGGAAGCAAATTCCAGCTTAAAAATACTCTTCATGTGACTTTGAAATCGTGGATGCCCCTCTTGTTGCATTGTAATTAAAGAATGCTCTAGCAAAGTTGTTTTTCTTTTACATCAAATTCTTCAGAAAACTGAGAAAACATGATAACTGAAAATGTAGAGGGAAAAATGGCTATTTAAGTGCATACTGTGGCTAGACTAAAAATTAGTGTTAATTTGCTCAGTTATAGATACATATAGTACGTAATAGTGTTGTGTAATCTTGGAGGAAGTAATGTGAACAAAAAGTGAATGAAATTCATGCGATAATTCTTTTAATCTTTGCACCTTTAAAATGTGTGGGAGTGTATTCATGTTCTGCTCCTGATTTTTGGACTACTGTTGTGTTTACAGCACAGATAATCTTCAGAAAGTTGTTTTCCAGGGAGGACAGAGAAAAATGTCATAACTTGACTGCTGTTGTGCCTTGGGAAAGAATGCCCTGATTTGGGAGAGGGTCTGTTGAGCTATTTTTAGGAAGAATGTAGAGAAAAATACTTCATTACAAATGCTTGATATGGAACACAGAGTACTAGATGTTAACTCTGTTTCCTTGTACCTGAAAAGATTCTTAAGTGACATTCCAAGTCCTCAAGTTCTTCAGGAGGAGATGGCCTGGATGAAGGAAAGACTGTCAAATTTAGGATCGCCAGTGGTGCTCTGTCACAATGACCTGTTATGTAAGAATATTATTTACAACAAGAAAAGAGGTAGGTGTTGAACTAAGCAGTGAGTGGCTTTATCTGTGCTGTAATTGCATGTGCTGCATCAGTGGAGTTGTCCTACTCACTTGTGGAGGTGAACTCAGTTTGAGCTTTTAAGACCCTTTAAACTTCTAATGGTAGTGATACCTGTGCAAATACTAAGTTGCTTAATTAGCTAATTCTCATCTGAATGCTACAGTATAGAGGAAGAAAATCAGTGTTCCTTGCTTTTTCTTTAATGAACTCATGAATTTGTTAATCCCCAGCTTGCCTGTATGCCTAGGCTTCAAAGTATGTAACTGAATGTAAATTCTATTCTGGTTTATAAAGCTTTTAGGAAGAAAAGAAAATCATGCAAGTGTAGAAAATAACATGAAAATTGTCTCCTGTAATGTTTTGTTCTGGTTTGTAATTGTGGGGAATAGCCTTTCATAGTGAAGTATCTTAATGATATTAACTTCTACATTCAGTAGCTCAATTTGTTTTCTGCATGGGCCACACAGACATCTTAAAAGATTTCTTTTGTTAATGCATGCTTTGTTTAAACAGTTTTAGGCAGCACACATCTTGGTAAAAATTAATCAGTTTTTTGTTTCTATTACCATATATTTAACTCGTAGTTCGTGTTATTAAGATCTGTTAAAGCTTCCATATGAACCCACAGCTTATTGATTTTAGTGGTTCAGGGTTTGGTTACTGAGTGAATCAATCAGGTATTAAAACAAACAAGGCAAACTTTTGACACTAAAATGGCCATTGTGCAGTAAAAATACACAATTTTCCGTTTCAAATACCTGAGCTCAGCTAAGTGTGACTAATCGGATTACAAGGTTTTATTTTGAAATAAGGATGACTCATTCCTTCTACTGCATATTTTTGTGTCAGTTGAGAAAGATTGTTGGTATGTAAGTTATGTGACTTAACTACTAAAGAAAAAGAAAAACAAAACCAAGTTGGTGCTGGTTCTAATATGAAAATTGGCTGTATGTGCTAACACATTTCTGCATTATATGTGAATTCTGCATCATTTCTGCATCACCATGTGAACTGAGGAAATAATCTCTTTTGGTGATTTGTATGCAAGTTTCCCTCTGAGTAATACTGCTTCGAAGTAGTATTGAGAATTGCTGGTACTTTTAGTTATATATGCTTATATGTGTATATGCACCCTAACAATGCTGTTAACATAAATTTTAAATTCTGTGAAAACCACTGAGCTTGAGTGGTTTTACTTATTTTCCATGATGGACTGTAGTTCTGCTTAAAAAGAGGAAGGAGAGAAAGCATGAAAAGTATACATAAGGCTGGACTTGTAGTCTTATATACTTGGAGTTGTGATTCTGTAGTACCAAAAATAAATCTCATTACCATGTGTTTTTATTAGTGCTGAAATTACCTTGAGTTTTAGCATTCCAGAGCAGACCCACTGAGGTAAAAGTAATTTTTGTAGTCACTTTTCAAAGTAGAACAATGCAACAAAAAGAAAAAAAATCTGAGGAATTCCTTTAAAAGCTTCACTGTTATGGTCAATAGGCTTGAAGCTCCTAATTGAAAAACAAATGCTGTGTGCTTTTCTTTTTGTAAACAGAGTGGAGGAAAAAGCAATGCCAGTAGTGCATCACTTGTGAGCAATCCTACAAGTGTGTGAGTGGAGACTGGGTGGGGAGGAGGGAGGTGTGTAAAGTACTTAGGCTTCAAGCAAGCTGTAAACAGCTGGGGGAAACACTTGGAAATATGAAGTAAACATATTATTAAACTTGTGTTTGAGTACTGTACATGTACTGTGTTGTAAAATTTGTGCAATCTGGATACAGCAGGGATCATTTTCATAGTAACCAAACCTCCATGCCATCTGTAGAAGGGATGATTGTCATTTGAAAGCTGTTTTTTATAGCACACTTTTTACAGAGCATAAATAGGATGCTCAGCTTTAACTGTAAAGAAGCATGTATAACTGGAACTGTGTTTAGCAGAGCAAAAGCTTTCCTTGGTATAAAAAAATAATTTTGTAAGAGCACAAACTATAATATTTTTAAAGATGAGCATCACTAGGAATGGCATCAAATTGTCTGAAGGTAGTTAACAGCTTTGGTGAATGCAATACTCTTGACTGAATTCACTCTTCCATCTAGAAAAGCTTCTGTGTATCCAAAAGACCTTGGTGGCCCTAAAGTGAAAACAAGAGAGAATTGATTCTCTAGATTAACTACCTTATTTTTTCTTTATTCCTCAGTGAAATTTGTGCGAAACTGGTAGTATTGTCTGGCTTTTCAGAAGCTGGTACAAAGACAACCTAATTTATTTGTTTTAGTGATACTGTATTTATAATTTTGTTTCTGAATGCTTAATTTGCACATTTACTAGTCAGGGGGTATGTGTGGCTGTGTGTTTGAGCTACAGACTCTCAGGATGTATTAGGACTTGTGTCCAATACAGTATGAATAATTATGGCTTGTTCCTGAGCTTTGCCTTAGACTTGTCCTCTGCATTAAATTCACATGAAGTTTTCAGACTTGAAAGAAAAATCACAGTCATGCCACATACTGCTTTTAAGAAAAATCAGTCTCCAGTCCTTATTTATGAGCCTGGAAGAGTGTGTTGAGTGTTAACTTCATTTAATGGAGTTTCACTCATCTGATTTGAATTTGTTCCTGCTGTGGCTGAGAGAGCTCTGCCTCTTGCTGTTTTGTTAATGTCCATTCTCAGTCACTCAGGATATGAAAATCTGCAAGTGTTACTTTACATAACTTATAATTATTGCTGTCATCTACCCTTTGAAGGATATAGTTCAGTGCTTCATATTGCTTTTTATTGCAGCTTTGGCATCAATAATACTCAAAATATGCTTGAAGCTTGGTACTGCTTATTTATAAACCTTGTGTTCTGATGCTCCTGAATTTGTTTGGGTTTGTTGGTTTGGTGTTCTTTTTGTTTTGTTTTGTGTTTTAGTGTGACCTGGGAATTTCAAAAAATAGCTGGTATTTTAAGAGTATTCAAATACTTGCTATTCAACATGATCAAGTATCAGAATTTTTTTTCTACTTCTATGTGTGCTCTTTTTGCATATATGAAAATCAGTTGGCAGGGAGTTGTGTGTAGGTAGATGGATAGTTTGGTTCTGTTTACTCCCTCTGACTGCTCATTGTTTTCTGTGATCTTTGGTAGGAGTCTGTGGGTGCTCAGTGCTTCTGAAGACTGAGGTATTTTTAAGGCTTGTGGTTTTGATCTGAAAGCCTGTTTTGTTTTGCAGAGCTCTTTTGTGTATTTACAGCTAAAATTATCCTTTGGGTGGGTGACCTGTTTGTGAATTTTCAAGTATCTTCCTAGCACAGATCCCTGTCTTTGAAGCTGTTTTCTAGGGGCTCAGTGGCTCACCTGATGCGCAGGATGGGACAGAACTCAGGATACGTAATTCAGGTGTGGTAACTACAGCCAAGACTTGGACAGGGGAAGTGTTTTCCCTATTTAAACCATTAAAAAGAAAAAGCAGCTAGATAGAGAGGTGTCTTCACCCTCCTACCTGTCAGAACCCTGAGGAGATCTCGTAGATGCTTTGTTGATTACCACTTGATCTATTTAAAAGTGGATTTCTGGGGTATTGGACACAATGAATTCCATTCTGTATCTGTGGGGTTTTGTGGGGTATGTTGCATATTGTCTGTCCTATGAAATGCCCGGTAAAAAGAAATGTTTCAACTTGAAATATTCCCCATTCTTGATGTGTCTATTCCTGTCAATAGCAGTAGCTTCTCCAGAGAGATGGCAGAGCTTGTTTTTAAATTTTTTCATTTCAATAAAGCACAAATGCACTTAGACCAGTATCTCTTGTTGGGCTGCCTGCTCTCAGGGATATAGATAGATTGTACAATTTGTGGATAGCTTTTAGAAACCTTGAATCAACAGTTTCCTGCTAAACCAGTAATGTAAGCCATAGCTTTTAGAAGTGGCTTTCTCATATGAACTTCAGTAAGTCTTAAAAGTAACTTCTAGTACAATGATTATTCAAACAATAACTACAAACTTTTGCTTTTTCTAAAGCAGGGTAGATGTGTGTATGTGTACATTTAAGTACAGATACGTTGCACATTTTTGAAGCAGAAAACTTCAAAGTTATTGCTTTCTTTCTGTTCCACAGGAAGAACTGTGCATCTTTATTTTGAGCCTTTGTGCAAAAATTAACTTTATAGGTTGAGTTTCACAGTAGTATGAGTCTGAAATGGATCAGCATAAATGCAAAGCTTTTTTTGCTTGAACTTTTGTCTTATCAAATGGGAGTTTGCCAAGTTTTCTCCATCTGCTAGCCAAGGGCTGGGTATGCCCTTGTTCCTGCTTTGTGAGGACAGCTCCTGGTAACAGCCCCAGCATCTTTTTGTTAGCTTCAATTTTGGCTTGTATGTAATATTCTTTATATCTGGAAGTAAGTTTTTTAAATGTTAGCTGTAATTAAAAATTCGTGGTGGCACATAGGGATGTTCTAGATGAAATCTGCACATGAAAAATTTAAAGTATTTATGTACATATTTTACGAGCAGACTTGGTGTGTTTGGATTTTATGTGAGGAAGAAAGAAAAACTTCTCTTAGTACAAGCAATATTACCTGTTCTGGGGGGCAGAAGGGGTTCAGGAGGTCAGTTGTTTAGCAGAATGTTGGACAGGCTTGGGATTTTAGCTGGCTTGTGACTTTAGAGGTGTCTGTTTTGAAAAGCAGCGCAGGAGAACCAGGGGGAAGAGCTAGCCTGTGAATCTGCCAGTCACACAGCAGCAGAAGTTCAATTGTGACAATAATATCTTGCCTGCAGCTGCTGTAAGATTTGCTGCTTCAAAGCTCTAGGGAACTTCAATTTTTCCACTGCCAACAGAATTTCCTGGAAGGAGCTTGCCACTTTGCAGGGCTGTTGGTTTGTTAGAAGATTTAACATCATAACCTTGATAAACAAGCCTCTCTTTCAGTGAAAGTAAGGGTGAACTCAGACGTGGAGGATTTGTGACTATGTGAATTATATTTGTGTTGTAGAGTTTAATTTCTGTTTTAAGTGCTTGGACAAAGATTTGTCCATCTGGAAAACATAATTGTGTTAGTAGTTCAAGAATGTCAAAGATGAATTGCATAGAAAAGAACAATTCTAAAAAGCTTCTTCTGTGCAAACTTGGTCAGGACATTGGTGAAACTATTTTATTTGAGATGTGCAATATCCCTAAATCTTAAGGAGGCAGTGCAGTAGGCACTTAAAATGCTTAGTCTAGGAAATACATACATAATATACTTAATTTTAATATTGTTCTTGATTTTCTTTTTAGCTTAAGAGTTTTGAGTCAAATTAAAAGATTTTTCTCATTATAATAGAATGAATGTTTTTTTGTTAATTAAATAACGCAGATAGTAATAAAAAAAGAGTGTAGGATATAAACCATCCCTGGATGTGTTTAAAAAAAGACTGAGTGTGGCACTTGGTGCCATGGAGTAGGTGAGATGTTAGGGCTGGGTTGGTATCGATGATCTTGGAGGTCTCTTCCAACCCAGTCATTCTGTGAGGGAGAACGGTGCAATGGTGAAAACCATATGTTAACCCATTGCTTCATTTTCTGATTTTTTAGTAATTTTGCTGGTTTCCCTTAAAATACAAGAGCTTTGATTTTACCTAATATATCTAGTTTAGATTTTGACTCTTTTATGTGCTGTAGACATTCTTGAGCAGCTTCAATGCATTTTCCCCAGCTTCACTGCAGGTAAATGTAATTTGGAAACATTTTGGGCTGTGTTTTGCTGCTTTATCAGCCCTTGTTGACACAATGCTACATAGTTTGATGGCTTTGTGGGCACTATGATTGTCTGGTGGTTTCTTGAGACTAGTTGAACCCAGCTTAAAAAAGCAACAATTAAGAATAATCTTCCTTTGTAAGATACTTACAGGAAGTATCAGCATGTTGCAATGTGTTAGTCCACTGTGGCTGCACATTTGTGTGAGAATAAGCAGGACTGCTAGTTTTTAAATCGGGGAGAAATTGATCTGCTATTTCTACATAAGGTTTAAATCAAGAATATGCTACTGTACTTCTCATTTTGAGAGTAAGGGAGGCCCTCATGTGGTAGAAATTAAAATTGATATTCTCCTACTCGGACTTGAAGCAGAGAGAATTAGGAACTCTAAGAGATTTCCTGAATTAATATTTACCTTTAAATATGGCATATCCTAGAAGTCACAGCCTTCCCCTGAAATGTCTGAGTGCACACAGCTGGGTACAGGGTGGGTTTGTGGTGTTTTCCCCAGAAATCTTCAAAGGACACCAAAGTATTAGGGCTGTGACTTGATTTGATCTGGACTCTAAAGTTGCTGCTGTTGTCTCATCACAGGTGATGTGCAGTTCATAGACTATGAGTACTCTGGGTACAACTACCTGGCTTATGACATTGGAAATCACTTCAATGAATTTGCAGGTAAGATTTGGGTTTCTGAGGTAAAAGTTGTCTGGTTTTACTAGAAACTCCAATAAACTCATTCTTGTGCATTCTCCTTTTTTGTTTGTATGTCTAGTTACATACTTACAGCTGTCAGCTCATGGTACCAGAATGTGTTGATATTTTACAGGCCAGTTATGCCCTTCCTTTGCAGGTCTTCTAACCCAGAAATGGAAACATCATGTCCTAAGTTCTGATAGAATTAGACAAGTTCAGAACACACAGCTTTCACCCTGTCCTTCTGTGAAGTGTCACAGAAGCAGAGACAGCCCACTGTAGTGAAATACTGTGGGTATCACACTAGAGGTGTAGGTAGTGACAGTATTCTGTGTGATTCCACAGTGCCAAATGGCAGGATTGTGTGGTTTTTGGTGGTTTTGAATGTGTGCACGAAGTACTTGGCCTATCCTGAAATGAGAAGTAAAGGCCAAGACTATGTCATAAGAAAAATGTGGGATTTTAGGTATAAGGTGTTTTTATAAGAATTTATTAACCAGTTCAATTTTTTTACAGTGAATGCCCATTTCACTTACTCCATAAGGGAGAAATAACCTCAAGTGTATGCTGTAATATTTCAGAGCATGGGCCAGCAGGGAAAAACTACATAATGATTAGAGCAGATGGAAAGCACACTGTGGTGAAATGAAGAGCCTTAATCTACCAGTTGCTTCACAAACAATGTTAGGTTTAGATAACTTAAAAATATATATATCAGGTGTGTATTTGGTAATTTGAGTTCTATAATTGGTAATTTAAACATTTGGAAAGCAAGCTAAATTATTTTACAAAATTGTATTTGAAACCTTGATTTTTCATCTTATACTTCTGAAATCTGCATCAGTAAGAGGAATACATGCAGAAATGCATTTTTTCGCTTATGAAGAACAGTTGTGCTTCACTTTTATTCTCTGTCTATCCAGTAAAAATGAGAATTATTTTTTAAATCTAAATTTATGTGGATCTAACACACAAACACATTTAGGTGCTAGGAGATTGCAATGTTCATAATATAAGAATTAATGAGAATTCCCAAATTCACTGGGAGTGATAATGGAAGTGAACTGTGATCTGGGTTTGGGGGTCCTAGGAGACTTCCTCTAGCCTGTGACTAAGCACCTCCAATATAGGAAGAAAAATAGGATAAAAATTGATTATGGGCTCCTAATTCTGCCAATGCCCTATGCAGGAGAGAGGCAGACTCATCTTAAATTTTTCTTAAAAAAACTTAGTGATAACTGGATATACATCTGGATTTGGTTTGGGATATTGTGGCATACAAGGCTTTTTTCCTACAAAATATGTAATATTTGATCTATTTGTGAGGTTTTTTGTTTCATAAAGCAAATACTTTTTTTTAAAGCTTTTTCTCAAAGCCCAAGGTGTTAAATCCCAACATACAGGCAGGTTCTATCTGGCTGAAAACATAAATTTGTAATGTGGAACACACTGATTTGTAATGTGGGAAATTCTTGGCAACATGTAATTTATAAGGTCAGGTCAAAGTAACAATGTAGTTATTTGTCCATATCAATCTGTGTATTGGGTTGGGAAGGGGTACAGTAATGGACTACTAATGGTAGTACTAAAGGGTTTCTAATGGTCTTTTTGTGCAACTTAAGGTTCTAACAGTATTCTTTTCTTTTTCCTAGGAGTAAATGAGGTAGACTACAGCCTTTATCCCAACAGAAAATTACAGGAGCAATGGCTGAGATCTTACCTTGAGGCCTACAAAGAATATAAAGGATTTGGCACAGAAGTCAGTGAAAAAGAAGTTGAAGTTCTGTATGTCCAAGTCAATCAGTTTGCACTGGTGAGTAACAAACACCTGATTAAAATATTTTAAATGATGCAGAGAAACCTGTTCAACTCTTTGAACAAATGTAGTTGCTATTTTCTTGATTTTGATGTGGCATGTAAAGAAAACTTCCATAAGAAATAAAACTTGGATGTTCCATGGAAACTTGCTTCCCTGTTGCATATTAAATATTGCCTGTAGAATATTCCTAGTGAAGGAGGCACTGCACATCCAGAAAACAAGGAGATGAGCTTTGAGTGAGGATTTCTGTTGGCTGTTTATTGCTCTGGCAAGTTTAATTTGGCCACAGCTTATGGTGGGTCTTAGCTGAACTTCTGCTTGTAATGGTAAGAAGACAGAAGAACAAGATAGTGCTTCATGAAGATTTATAAACTTTAAAGCCCTTTTTAAAAATAAGACTATAGCATTTTGTTAAACTAGAATATTTTGACTTTTTTTTTTTTTCTGTAGCAGATAAATAGGTGACTCTAGAGTCTCTTTCTGATCTTGTTTTGCACAGATAATGTGACAGGAAATATTACAGCTCAAGTGCTTGTATTTTTTTTCTTCTGAAGAATAACATTCCCAGCTATTTGTAGGAGGAATAAGGTAGCCACTTTGGCCTTTTTAGTCCTCTTTCCTACTAATTCAAGCACGCCTCTGTTACTGTAATACCCTCAGTTTTCTGACAAAAGCTACTATTTGCAGTGAGGAAGTATAGTTAACAGGAAGATGATTACTAAACAAGCTTTAAAAACAACAGCCTGTGTGCTGCTATGCTTTTAAAATGTTAGTTGTTACTGTTAAAATCAGCTGTCCCATTCATTTAGGCAGGCTGCTGGTCTGTTTGAAAATATAAAGCACTGTTTTATCAGTTTTAAACAATGGTCATAGTAATGTTTGAGAAGATAGAGTTGTGTTTAGGGAGCAGGTCAGGACTTGCCCATACACTCCCCATGGTGCACAAACACCGTGGGACTCTTGTGTCAGTTCATATGGGCACCTCTGTTAAGGGAAAACAACGTGAAGTTAATGGACGTTGATGTAAAATGATGAACTGCAACTCTCTGGCAGAGTTATCTGAACTAGAGGCACAAGAATCACATGGACACAGATTAGTTGCTGTTTTGAGGTGTTTTCAGGTATGTCCATGGATGTCTACTAAATTCCTGGTCAAGTGTTACATGCAAGCTTCAGGAAGCCATTTAATTGATTAATATGAGCAATCATTTGCTGAAGTTCAAAGTCTGTCATTCATAACCTGGGTGTCCAGAAATGTCTTCCACAAAGACAGTGTCAAGCTTATGTCCATTATATGTTCAATTTGAAATATATTGACAGTCCTATCATTAATATAATTCATACTTTCAATCTGAAAGTGAACAGAGGCCTCCAGACTACTTCTCTGGACTCCTAATGGAAATAAGTCTGGAACAGATGAGAAATTTGTGTAAATGCTGATGAATTAGAGGTTTTCCTAAAGCATTACATATCTCTTTGTCCAGCTCAGGAGTGAAAGTGAGTGTAATTATAGAGGTCTAAGGGTAAAATCAAAAATTCAGAAGGAATTTCCTGTTTGCACTTGAGTTCAATATATATGGAGTAATGCAAATTTAATTAGCAGCACTAGAGGTGGTAGTTACATTTCTGTGCATTTTTTTAGCATGGTGTACATAGTCATGCAACAATCTACTTAATAAGTGACAAAGTTTATAAATGCAATATTGTTTCTCTTGAAAATGATAGATGGGGAGTTAGACTCCAATGGATTTTTTCATCTGCTTGTAATTTATTCTATAATACTGCTTATAAATCTCTTTGGTAAAGAGAGATCAAGTAAGTACAAGAAGACTGGGTTTTGGGTGTTCTCTTAGAGCTAAAGTTTTGTGTCTGTGAGAATAGGTTTATGTGTTAGGTTTAAGATAAGGTTAATTTTTTGCTGCTGAATTTTTTTCTTGCAGGCTTCACACTTCTTTTGGGGATTGTGGGCTTTAATTCAAGCCAAATATTCCACCATTGATTTTGATTTTCTAGGGTAAGTCTTCTTGCTGTGTACAATCATGGAATACTAGAGGGTGGAAAGGGGTTTGTGGGGCCATTTAGTCCAGCACCCCAGCTATCAGAAACTGAGATCTGAGCAACACACCTGACCTCTGTGATCATACAATAAAACTCTACATTTTTAAGGAAAAACAAGGCAGTAAAAGCTGTCTGTGTTTTTGTTGCTGAAAGTTCTCTAAATTGTGTCCCTGGGTTAAAATGCATGGTTTACAAGGCAAAGAACATAATGTTTTTGGGTATTAAGTGTTTCTTGCTGGGGTGACAAAGGTGTAAAAGCCAAGGTGAGGTGTGCTGTCAGATGCAAGACCTGTGTTTCCAACAGTAAGAATCAAAGATATAGTACAAAAGAGCTGGATTACTTATTGCATGGAGTGTTGATCCTGGAAGTTGCTATTCTTGTTTTAAAGAGTCTTTGTACCACCAATGAATGTTAAGTTCTGGGTAAGTTTTGGGTGTATATACCTGTGTCTTTGGTCTTTCATGGCAAGAAGCAGAGGAATTAATTTTTCCACTGGAGAAGATTGAGCGAGGTGATAAAGTTCATCATTTTACCTGGCAAAAGGTCCCAGTTCAGAATTTTTTGCACTGACTAATCCAGTTTACTGAGCTTAATTATGTCATTTTTGTGAATAAGACCGATGTGGATTCCTAATTATCTCAGGCCGCAGTACCTGGCAGTCACCACAAGATGGAGTGAAAACACCAGAGATAAACCCCAAAAACTTGTCAGCTTTGGCACATTTGTTTTTATTATCAAGATCAAATTTCTGTGGCACTGTAGTCCATAAAGAACAACTAACCACTAAACCACTACCTTTGATAATCCTGGAGCAGCATCTTTTTTGCAAACTGGGATTGGGGGATGGTGGAGAAGAAATACTGTAATATCATTGCTCTGTTCTTAATTTCTTCCCTTAGCAGCTGCTAAGAGTCAATTTTGGGAACAGGGTGCTGGGGTCAGTGGAATTTTGACTAGTCCTACTTTAGCATGGCTGTTGTCATGTGAAGAGTTAGCTGTTCCTAACCTGGAATGTCTCTCTCCCTTTGACCAGGTATGCAATTGTTCGGTTTAACCAGTATTTCAAAATGAAACTGGAGGTCATGTCGTTAACTCTTCCTGAGTAATGAAGAGGAGGACTCTTACCAAGTGGATAGACAACCCCTGAATCTTTTCTGAGAACAGATACTGGAAAAAAGCTAAACATTTGTTGAAGTGCTGTAATGCTCACTTGGTGGTTCTTGCTTTATAAATAATGCCTCTAGACAGTCCTTCAATGTTAAATTTATTATGAAGAACATACGTACTGCTGTTGATATAAAACAGATTAGAAACTTGCTAAATCTATAAAAAGTTGTAGAAATGGCAATTTAATCCTTCTTTGTAATTTAACATATGTTGTATGTGAATTATTTATTATACATTTAACATGATTCTGTTGCTGCTTTCATCAGTTTTTGTTAAAGTTGGGTGCAGACAGTGAAGTTGTTCCAAAGGATTCATTTAACAACTTATTTTATTGAAGTTGCTTAGCTTATGCTAAAGAAGACATGTCAGAGAATTCTTCTTTTAGAGGCCTACGAGCAAAAGGAGTGACAATAGACTTGTAAGATCTCTAGTGTGGTATAGCTAGGGAGAAGGGTTAGGATGATCTTTATTTCCTCCCTCCCTTTTTTTTTTTTAAAGGTAGCTTTCCATATGGTGGTACTTTTCTTTTACACAAGAATCAAGCATCTTGTTGAAGTTATAAATAACATTTTGTTCTTTTTTTTTTTTTTTTTTGCTTATTGAGCTGTAGAAATGTTCAAGCTCTGTGACCACAAGATTCTCTGAGGATATTGTACCAATCACTGGTGTTAGATGGACAACCTTCCATCTTTAACTTCCATTGGAAAGCTGCTTGTTTATTAAGTGCACTCTTAAAATCAAAAGACCACTATTCCAAACCTCTCTTCCTTTTTGAAACTTGATTCTAGATTTGAACACTATTCTGGTGTCTGTATCTGTTGTGCTCCAGTGGCAGAATGGACTGTTGGACTGGAGATAGGAGAGCAGAGATCCTGTTGCACTGGGGAGCAAGACACAGGTTTACAGTTCCTGTATGGATGACAACTTTCTGCTTTGTCATCTTCTAACCTTGCACTCTTAAGTCTTAAATGCCTGGTCCTGTAGTTGTGCAGATTCTGGTATGTCTGGTGGTCCTTTTTTTTTTTTTTTCCTGTCAGCAAATTGTTTTCCAAAGCCTCCAGTTTGAAGGACAGTAAGGAAAAGTGTATGACTTGAGCAGTGAGGCTTTGATCATCACACACATTTTATTTCTTAAGGGTATTATACCAAGAATGGTCTGGATTACAAAATATTAACTGAAAAGAAAATGTTTACCTAATGGAACAATTCATAAGTTTGTGTGGAAAAGAGGCTTTAACTCTGAAAGGGAGGGTGGGATTGGGGGACAGGAGGTGGGAAGGAACCCATAGCAGAAAACTCAAGCCCAGCAATTGCAGTTTGGGGCTAGGCAGGCATGGACTTGACTCTCATGATACTCTGAAAAACTTTGCACTTTGGTCACATAAGTGCCCACATGTACAAAGTCTGTGCATGTGCATGAACACATGCAAACACAAACTTAGGTGGGGAGTCTGTTGTACAGACTCCAGCAAAGATATTTATTCAAAATTGCTTTATGGCACATGGCAGTGTGGGTATGTGTGTATAGTACATATACACGTACATACATATGTGCTTTTCAAAAGCTTGGAGTGATTCAGGACAAAGAAAATTCATGTGAATGAAAAATCTTCACCAATAAAGACCATTTCCAATGGTATTCTGTTGTTTTACAAAAGCACAGTTTAGGGTTTGTTTTTCCTCTTGTTTGTATTAATCTCTGAATGTTTCCATTTTTTTTTTATTCAGTCAAAACCTTAAAAATCTTTATAGAAATGGGAGAACTGGGAATTTTTTTCTAACTTGAAATGAGGTAACCATTTTCATTATCTGGAGGCTACAATACTGGACAAACTCTCTTTGATTTGAAACAAATAGGTAAAATAGACATTTATAATTTACTTTGTAGCAGTTATCAAGGATGTTGCTAGAGCTCATGAAGGCACTGAAGACCTTAATCTTCTGTACTTTCTCCCTATGGACTTTATTGACATTTGATGAATGCTGTCTTGTATTTCCTTTAAGTTCAGCAAGATGTCCTTGGAACTAAGATTGCTAAAGGTTTTTGAACTCTGTTACTATTTTCTTCCAAGCAGTGGCTTTATTTCTGATAGTGTTGCTTTGTATTTATGAAATATTTTGAAAGAAGGCTGTGAAGTTAATTTGGTCTTGGGAAATCCAACACTTGACAGATCCTAAGTTTCCCAATGGCTGGCAAAATACATTCCCCTTTCAGGTACTAGTACTACTTAGGTTTGGAGTTACTGTAATTTTTGTCAGTAGTATTTTTGTTTGTATAGCTCAAGTAGCAATAACTGCAGGAATGGAAGTTTGCTTCCGCAGAACCAAAGTTTTTCCTGAGTGCAGCTCAATCTCATCCTTGTGGAGTGAATCCTGTAAAAGCACTTTGAAGCAGGTAGCAAATAGTCCAAGCTTTTCCTGAGCCACTTTGAAGGAGCACAAGGACTGTCACAGGTTAGAGTGGTTGACTTTGCAGTACTGGTCAAGGCTTTAAGTTTGCACGTTGGAATTCGCTTCAGACACTTCAACACTGCTCTGCATCAGCTTTCTCTCAGGAGAAGTGCAGGTTAAATCCATTTGTGATCAGCTCTGAGGAAATACTGTAAAACATCTCCCAAAATGAAATGCCAGTTACCTGAGCCTTGTTCCACATCTGTTTGAGCCGGTAGCACTCGGATATCCTCGTTTCCTGAGGAATATCTACAGATGCATTAAGTTGGAAGTAGTAATTTGCATTGCAGATGGTAAGGTAGCTTGAAACTGTGAATACAGGACATTCTGAATGTAAGTTAGGTACTAGAGAACATGTACTTGTTACACTTAATTTATCTCAGTCTCTGTAATAGCAACATGAAGATATTTGAAGTAGGACAAGAAAAAAATGACTGGGCTCTAGAAACATCCTGTAGTAGTTTTGACTGTGACTTGCCAAGAAGATACTCTGTTGCCTTTGTTAAGTTAAGGGCATGAATGCCAAAATTAATAATTCTTGCTGTAGTTAAAGCTATATTGTAAATATAAAGAGGATTATTAATCTGGGCTTTCTTGCAGAAATAGCATCAAGTCAATAGACTGTAGTGGCCTGGTTGCTTTTGTAAAGCAGAATAGTGTGATTTTTTTTCCTTCTCATTTCTGCAGTCAGATCTGGCTAATCCAGGCCTAATTTCTTAGGTCATCCAAGCACTAAAGATTTTTGAATGGTCACTAGTCTCCTTTCACATAATTTTAAATGCCTTCATTGACATTTGCTGATTTACTTTTTAAAAGGACATATAAAATTTGCATTAACCAGGTCTGACTGTACATGTATATACAACAGTGTAAATAACCATTTGTAAATTAATGTGAATTGTACTCTATCTTGCGTTTATGTGTATTGCATTGTATTCTCTCCTATTTTGTAGAAATCTTGATGTAAAGAAGAAATCTAACTCTGTGTGCGGACTTCTTTTGTTAAATTGATTTATAACGGAGCATAATACTTTCATGTTAAGATATCTGTTTATAGCCTTGGACACCCAGTGTCTTTTTTCCCCATTAGCTTTTTTGAAATCTTGCTCTTGGGAATGATTCTGGGAATAAAGAGATTTATACAGTACTTACATTAAGAGAAAATCTGTTCTAATAATAGGGCAAACCATGTGTCAGAGGTATATGCAGTTACCAGTGGGATAGGGAAACCTGTTAAAACTTTATTTAAACTTCCAAAAACATTTCCTATACATTCTTGAATACTGTTGACTTCTAAACTAAGGGTGTTGGGCTGAAGCACTCCTGAAGTGTGTGTTCCCATAGGGACACTGATTGAGGTAGCTGTGATAGGAGTCCCTCAAATGTTTTTGGTGGATATAGCCTTCTAATAGGATTAGTTGCTAACTTTTAAGTGCTTATATTGAGTGCCCAAATCACTCATACAGTTCTGTCAGTTAATTTACTTCAACGTTAGAACTATTGGTACTCAGAGTATTTAAAACTTATAGTGGACATATTTTCCCTGTGTGTGATTCCCTCCCCCTCCTCCTTGTGCCCACAACCCTACTTCTTTTAGCGTAAACATGAATCTAAAATCTTCCTTTCCATACTTGGCTTATCACTATTTCCTTCTGGACTAAAATTACGTTCTGCTTTGGCAGTACATGACTTCTCAACAGATTTTTTTTTTTGTGTAAAAAGTCCCTTTCTGAAGAGGCTTTTAACCTTGCAAACACAGACGAAGGTTAGTTTTTTCCCTGGCTGTATTTCATCACTGTTGCCTTTCGTTGTCTGTCATGAACTGTCATTGTGTCTTTCAAGCTGTTAGTTTATTCTTCTCACTGGTGTGTTTAATACCTCGGCTGGAAAATTCTGGTTTGCAAATCTTGTTCTCCATCTGACATATTGATCTTGATGCAGTTTGTACAACCTCTCAGCCTTACCTGTGGTGACACTTGAGGTTACAAAGGTCCTGGGAAGTGAGTTTATCCAAGAAGTACTAGTCAAGAGGAGGGATGGGCTTGGTAAATGTAAGTAAAAGGAAATCACTCACTTGGAAGCTCAAGTTTTTTGCTATAGCAAGGTATTGAATATGCTTGTTTACTTTCATGGTTTAAGGACAAAAGCAAATTATAAAGGGTAAAGTTTGTTTCAGAATGAAGTTCAAATTTTTTTAAAGCCTTTGCTAGGTAACAGAAGCTTACAAATACTCTTGTTACTCGTACCAAAAGAAATCTTAAAACTGGGTAACTTTTTGATTAAATAAAACATTGGTCTAAACCGCAGTGACACTATAATCTCTCGGTTGGGGCAGTCCTTGTAGTTAGCAGAGCAGGTTGACCATGTTTCATGTGTCTGTTCTAGGTGGTTGTGTGTTCCTTGTTTTCATGTTTTTTGTTATTTGCTCTGTTCTAAGATAGCTAAACTGCTGCACTTGGCAACTCTCTACTGTCATCTTCCACACCAAGCAGGTTGTACTCATAGTAGTGGAGCAAGAAAGCATTTTTTCAGACCCTAAGGGAAATGCAAGGCTGATGTGGAGCAGTCTTGCTGACAATTTTCCCTCCCTCTTTATGACTGTGAGTGGCAAACTGATTTGTTTTCAGTAGCTGTGAAAGATAGGAAAGACCTTTGAGCTTGTGCAGGGTAGATGTTTTGTTAGCCAAACACAAGATCTTTAGGAAAGGGGCTCTCAACAGTGAGATATCACACCTTTCCAGATGGAATGTGTTGGATTAAACCAGACTTTGTGGCTTAGAGACCTTCAGTGGAAAGGAAAATGTGTAAAAGGTTTGCACAGGCTGGTAGTAAGGAGGTGCTCCATCCAAGTGAAGTGCTGAGACACTGGAAAAGTTTGATTTTATTTTTTTTTTTAATTTTTTCTTTTGAAGTGACTTTTACAGTTGGTTTGACCTGTAGAGATTGTGTAATTAGGAAACCAGTCAACCTGCAGAGAGAGGGAAGAGACTGTTCAAAAAATCATTTATTAAAAAGGAAGCACCTTTGTAGCTGATTAGTTTGCAATACATAGTGTTTTGGGTCTTTCTGTGTATTTAATAGTGTGGATGGTGCTCTGGACCGAATTCTTTCATAAAGGGTTTTATTACTATTGGGAAATGTCAGAAAACTGGTAGCCAGGCTTCACCAGATGACTAAATTTTTGTTTCAATGTTTCATACTGTTTCTGCAGCCTTCTAAAGTTGTCAAGCTGTTATCATAGTTTCCCTGTGGTGTAGAATTTAGTTCATGGACTTCCCAAATATCTTTGATTTGATGTTTATAGAGAGAGGACACAGAGGGAAACTTCATGGAAATAAAAGGGAAAGGAAAATAAGTTACTTGAAGTCTAGCAAGCAGACTTTGACACTAAATGCTGAAATAATTTCAGGTCCTGCACCAGCCTATTTCTGTGGCGTTGCAACAAAAATATGTTTTTACTCTATTAAGTGGATTTGGGTTTTTTTCCCATGCAGACTCCTGTGCAAAATGTGAGATGAAGGAGACCTTGGAAGAGAAACATGAAAAATATCGTATAAAACGGATAAAATATAGCATGATCTGGAGAAGACTTGTACGTTTCTAAATTTTTGGTAGTAATAATTCTTAAGTGTTATCAGAAAATAAGTGTCCAGTCTTCAGTGTGTCAAAGTTATTTTTTTTGTAGCAAGTTTCCATTTGCCATTTTGTATCACACTGTAGTAGTTGATGCTGCTGTTTCATACTCAAGTGCTTTGAATAGTCTCAGCACGGAGAA